GGTGGGGCCCCGGCCCCGGCCCCGGCCCCGGGCGGGCTCTGCAGGCTGCTGGGCGCTGGGGTTATTTAAAAGAGCGAGAGGAGAGCAAGGGCAAAGTGATGCAATCCTATAAGCATGGCTGGGAATGCTGTGTACATGATGCAATCTCGTGTAACTGTCAGTCATGAATTGAGTAATCTGTTAAAGATGTTCCTACAGTTTTTTTTATTATAAAGAATAATCTATTTCTATAAGAAAATACATATGTATATTTTGGGATCTATGCATTCTTGCTACATTTGAAGCATTAATGAACAATTTTAATAAACTTTATGACTAGGTTAAAAAAAGTAGCTTGTTTTATTTTGAAGGCACGTTTAAAGGTAGATTAAACACAGGCTTGAAATTCTAGCTGAATCTGGCTCAATGCTGTGACCAGGGATCAGGATTTTTGTTGGTCTTTCCGACTTACTCTGTGACTCAGAGAAAGAAAAAGAAAACAAAAACCTCAAGAGAAACCCAGCAAAGAGCAGAGCTGGATGCTTTAGCCAGTTCTTGTTGCCTCATTTTATTTCCTCTAATCACTTGCTTTAGCTGCCGCTTGGGTGTTGTTTGGGGAGGAGGTGTTTGTGTTGGGTTTTTTTTGCATTTCTTGCTGTCCTGAGCGTGCAGAGCGAGATGTGCTATCCAAACCATGACCTGTCTTTGGCAAAGTAACACCAAGTCTGAAGTTGGAGGGAGGAAGAAAAAGTAAGGGAGGAAGCTTGAAAGTGTTTTTTTTTTTCCTTTACAGAGTTTCTATTCTCTAAGTTATGATTCAGCATTTCTTATGTTTGTAGTTTACAGGAATAAACATGAGAAAGTAGCATTTCTGTTGGATGTCGGTAATTTCGGTCATTGCTCAGGAATCTCTCCTGAACCCCGGCCAGGTGAGAGGCACATGAACAACTCCTTATCTTTTCTCTTGAGACATTTTTCTAAAAACTGTAGATGGAGTTTCTCTGTGGAGAGGTGTTTGTTTCTGTGTGCGTGCGTGTTTGTCGGGGGCAAGTGACAGACAACTGGGGGGTGGCAGAGGAGGAGGAGGTTTGTAGCAGGCCATAACTTTGTTTTAGAGAGAACTAAGGCTCTGCCTGCCGATGGAACAAGCCAGCCTTGCCCGGGCTCCCAGGCTGTGTGAGTCCCCCCACTGTACGCGGCTGTGTCGAGGTCTGTAAGACGTTAACAGTCTCAAGCTGGTTATGTGGAGGGAGTTGGGCAAATGATCGAGTCTTATTCAGCATTTTCCATTTTCCTGTTAGGCCAAATTTAAGCATTAAGTTTTTAGATCCAGATTCCCAGTGCCCCAGAAAAGAAACTCTTTAATGGTCTATGCTCTGTCTGACAGCTGAACACAGAGGGATTTTTCAGTATAAAGACAGCGGACTTGAATTTGCTGCTATACATTCCAATCCAAACAGCAGTGGATTGCAGAAGGACAAATCTTGAATTTGTGGCTTACTGCTAGTGTTTCTTTAAGCAAAGCATTTTTTCTCCTGAAAGAACTGTTCTGCTTTTTTTGTCACTTAAGATTATAGCCTCCTGCGGGTGAATCTCCCAGAGCCCTTACTGAAATCGGTTACACATTCCCTGCTCCCGCAGAGCCTCCATAGCTCCTGCCAGGAGCTGTGCAGTAGTAAGCAGTAGAGTGTTAGTCCTGATACAGATTTCTCCCCTTTGCTTTTTAATTTGTACAGTCAAGTTAAGTTGTTTTTATGAGACCCTAGGAATAGATTTTCTTGGTTGAGCTAGCTCCTGCACCAGCATGACTGAAGTTCTTGCAGGCAAGACAGACGTTAGATCTTGTCTTGACTGTCCCTCGTGACGATGATTACTCCAGCCTCCTGTGGCTGTTTATTCTACTATTCTTCTAGTTACGAAACTTATCCACATCGTTAGATCCGATTTTCTTGTTGTGCTGTAGGCCATGTAATGTTACCCAAACTTTGAAGCAGCCTTCCCAGTCAGAGCGGAGTGCTGCTGAGGGTGGAATTGCTGGAGGCCTGAAGATGTCCTCAGATACATTGCTTTCTTTCTTTCTTTCTTTCTTTATAAATGATAAAGCTTCCAGCAAAAGTTCGGATTGTGGGGGCTGGAAGGCAGGGTAGATTGAAAGATAAGATGTACTAAAGGTCTTTATATTTGTTTAAATAATAGTGCAGTTTTGGAGACAGAGCTCTCTCAGGCATGAATGAGCTAATCCCGTCCTTAAACTTTGCCTGCCGCAGTTCAGGAGAGCCAGGGCAGTGCTGCTGCAACTTAAAGAATGATGTTTAGGTTACTGCTGTATTCCAATGTATCTCTTAATTAGGATTACAGATTTCTCATTCAGGAGGTAATGTGCAGCAATGAGTTTTTGTCAGAAAGATGCAATTACAGACCAAGGCCATGAATGCACCAATTTTAGACTAGCCTCAGAAGGAATCCGTGAAAGAGTCGCAAAAAGAATTCCCGAATCCTTCATTCTTAATCTTGTATTACCCACATAACTTACATTTTAGGAGCTTTGTAGCGCTATTAAATGCATGGAGGTCATGAAATACCCTGCTCTATAAACAAGCATATGAAAAAGCCCCTGTAATTAAAACATCTCCTAGAACAAAATAGTCTGGAAAAAATAGTTTGGAAATGAATCTGAAAAAACTCCAAGCACTAAAATAGACAAAAGATTCCAAATACCTTTTCTAATCACAGTGGGGGAATTGGAAAATCCCTGTCCAAACAGTGGCTCAGCTCCAAATATTGATACGGTTTCCCATTACAAATAAGATTCTGTCGGCTGAAAGCAGTACTCCGTGCATCTCGGTTGTCTTCTGACAGGGCCTCTTGAGTTTCTTTTCCTAAAGCGACTCGGCACAGCCTGTGGTAAGACTTTGCAGTCTATATGCAGGCAAACCGTGCGGAGAAGTTAAGGCACGTACTCCAGTAGTCTGTTCTGAATTTTATGGAAGTTTATAAACAGCATTTTGTTTGGGCTTCCTCCCCCCTTCAAATTATTTATTACATTGACTGATTGATACAGGTCTTTCTCATTACTACTGAAATAACAGTTTCTTCCTATGTAGAAATAAGCCTGTAAGATCAAATCCCTCGCGCTAACATCCCCTTTCCAAAGCGTCTAGTGCTGTTTTATCATTTGCTAGGTGTTTGAGTTCAGTTGTACTTAGTTCTGCAAAAGGAATCATGTGTATCATTTTAAAACAAAATATTTAAAAATACAATTATAATTTTGTTAGCAGTTCTTCTATCTATGAATAGAAATATTACTCTCTGCTTATCCGCCCAAAGCATGTATAACCCCTGCAGCTCTGACACTGTGGTGTTGCTTTCACACTTTTCCCACTGGTTTCCATTAGTGACTCTTGGAAGATGCAGGAAAATTTATGCTTGTTTCTATACTAATTGTTTCTCCTCTATCAAATCACACAAATTGCACACATGCACCAAAGGGTTATTGGGCCGGAGACTTGGTCACGTTTGGTAACACTGTTTTTTTCCTCACCGCAATTCTGCAATAGCCTTCAGATATCGAAATTACAACCTGAAAAAAGCTTTGTGCACAATGTTTACCTTTACAATTTCATTGCCAGAACAACTGTTGTTGATGTGGGTATGTATAAAAATATGAAGTTACTCTCATACTAGCTAGTTTTCAAGCAATGTTTCGTTAGTTGTGACCAGAATAAAAGTCAATGCAACTCAGTATCTGCTTTAATAAAGAGAAAAAATGTATATGAGGCCAAATTACACATCTTCTTTTGTTATTTATAGTGATATCGCTTAAGGTACAATAAGCATTATCTTGCATTTTCCTGTCATTCATACCGACACAAAGTGGGTCTAAAGTGGCAGGGTTCTGCGTTCAGTTTGTCCTGGACAGAGATGATTATATGGTGGACGGGGGGTAATGACGAATTTTGTTCTAATTCTTTTTGCTACCGATTGCTAATGCAAAAAAAAATTTATTACTGTTCTCCTGAGTGTTAGCCTGTTTTATGTTTAAGTCTATGCAAATGCTTAACAGTCAGAATTTTAGGGCAAACCTCATATACTAATGTGAAGTGTGAAGAAAAATTTAAACCTATCCATGTATGTTGAAAGGGTCCTAATTCATTAATCAGGAAATCCAAACAAAACTAGGAATATAGTTAACTACTCCCAAGGAAACAATTCCGTTCAAATTCTGAACACCTTTTTTTAATCAATCAATAAAGCAAAAATAAAACCACGTGGCCAAAACTATACGTTAAATATGTGAGGGAATTAGTTCTCTTTGAGAGATAGTCGCTGAACAGACAAGTGAAATCATTAAAAGAATGAAGTTCTATTTAACTCTTTGCTGGGACCCTAAACATAGTCTGAGAGTTTAATCTTTGCAACATAAAGCTAAACTTTGGTAGAAACTCTACACTTGGATAATATCCCGAGGTTTTCTAAGGTTCCCGATTCTTTCACGTGAACTGAGGCTGTTTTGCCCCAGCCTGGGTAGATGAGCAGCGCAATCTATGGTGAGTATGTAAACACCTAAAAAGATTAGATACAGCCTTGGCTTGACATCAGGATCATGTGAAATTTATGGTGCGGTGTAAGCCTGATGCAAAACGACGTGAAACTCCAGGAGAGTTTCTCTTTGAGATGATCCTGGAAGCGGCAGCGCGGCTGCCAGGAGCACCACCCCTGGGGTTCGACGCCAGCACGCCAGGCCTCGGGAGCCGCAGTCAAGCAGAGCTCTCACGTTCGGCATTGCCGTAATTCTGATTTGCTCAGTTTGATCTATTGGAAACTATTGGAAACCAAAATGCCTTTCGTGATCATTTCCTCACCTGCTAAATTGTTTGAATGTTTTGTTTTGAATAAAAGGCTTTCC